GTGAGAGAGGCAAAAGAGATCAATAATTTCCTAACTTTGTTCCAAGAACCTAAATGTTCCTTGGAGGTAATGAGACCACCATACTCCCACCCCAACCCGGGCAGTACACTATCACGTGTTTAGGGAATGTGGGTTCCACCTCAGACTGTGTTTGGGAACCAAGAGCTCGATGCTAAGACAAGCTTTGTGATGACTGGACCTGGGGCTCCGTGATATTCCTACGGGTCTGAGCTTCTCTGGGCTGAGCCCACCTCTCTGGCTGCACAGCTTGAGGCCTCACAAGCCTGCCCACCCCTGCAGAGCTGCCCCTGCCCGCCATCACCAGGGCCCACCTCATTGAAGACGATCCTGGATAACTGCCTTGAGAGCTGCTTGATTGGCTTCGCTGTGGTTTTCCATGTCCTCCCAAAGAAGTGTCGGTAAGTGGCGTCAAAGAAAGACACTCGCAGATGGCATTCAACCTCCGACAGCACCTCCAGCAACCCCTAGGTGACAGCAAGGATCAGCCATGAAGAATCCTCCGGATCATGAGCCAGCCCTGCCACTGACACACCTCCCCATGGCAATCAGGAGTGGAGACCAGGACCATCTAGGTAGGAGGTGTGGGATGGGCAGGGGGTGCTGAGAAGTGGGCAGGGTGGGGATCTTTGCTGAAAGAAGGGCCGCAGGAATGTGTGCTGGGCAGTGGCATGGAGAGCGTGGCAGCTACCTCGGTTCACTCAGCCTTTCCCAGATCTAGCCTGTGAGTCCCATGTCCCTACAGAAGCAACCAGTATCAGTGTCACTGCAGGGATAGGAAGGACAGGACAGAGCAGGTCTGGACGAGGAACCCAAGTTCAGTTTCAAGCACATGCTGACGGGGCTCAGAGACCTCACCTATTGCCCCTCCATGCAGACTCTTCCCCGCCCTCCGCTCTGGCTGCTCTGCCTGCTAGGAGCCCCACACACAAGCTGATCACTCTCTCACCCTGTCAGGCCACAGCACCCATGTCCCTGATGAGGGAGGCCTTTCCCAATCACTGCCATCCCCACACAGCTTCTGACCCTGCTATTTCCCCAGTGACCACCTCTGCTTTCCCCAGCTGGAATGTGAGCGCTGTGAGGACCCGAACCTCGAATGTTCTGTTCCCTGCTCCATCCTCAGGACCTTGGACTAGGTCCTGCACTGTAGGTGCTCAGTGCATGTGCCTTGTCACCACACACACTGACCAGGGCCCACTCAGACCCTCTCCTCTCCCCTTCCTCCCTCAATTCTCCCCTCTTCTCCCCCTCTTCATTCTCCTCCCCCAGAGTAGTCACCAGCCAGGGACCAGTGACTCCCAAATCTCTGCTGCTGGCTAGGACTTCCCAGAAAACTGGACCCTAACCACCCCCACACCTCCGCACGACTTCATATCCAATTCTGTTTGTTAGCACTGTCTCCCCACCTGGACTGAGAGCTTTGTGAAGGCAGAAGATAAGGCAGAGCCATCCCTGGGTTCCCTGCACAGTTCTAAACACATAATGGGTGCCCAACAAATATCAAACTAGGCCAGCAGTGGGGGCACACAGAGAGTGCCACGGCTTGGAAGACTGCGAAGCACATGGGAGGCCCAGAGTTGGTTCCTGGGGCAACCTGAATGCACCAGGTGAGGTTGTAATGTCTGTAACCCAAGTTAACTGTGAAGCTCTCAAAAATACCTGTCTCTCTCCCTTTTCTTCTTTCTCTGTCTATTCATCTGTCTCTCCCTCTATCTCCTCTTACAAAGGAGGAAAGGGGACAAAACTCAAATGGAATTGAAATGGCCATCCCAAAGTAAAGTAATACATTCAATGTTCAAGGAAAAATTAAACCAAACCAATAAGGAAATGGAATAGAAAGAGAAATATACTCGGGGCATATAAATTCAAAATAAGTACATAATACTCAGCCCAAACCCTTTCACAGGAAGGTATGCTATTATCTAAAGCTATCAATTCTAAAAAACAAACTAGAACTGTACAAACTTCTAACATCTAAATCAAACTTTCTTTTCAACAATCTATTTTCAATGTTGTTTTTTAAACCTATATCTTTGATTGACTTTTAAATGTAAAACCAACTTTGCATCTTCTGCAATAAACCCCACTTGATTTTTTATATATGCTGCTGGCTATGATGCCCTAATAATTTAAGGTTTGGGTGTTAATATTCATGAAGGATGTCAGTCTGGACTGTTCCTGCAGTGTCCTTGGATCGGTCTAGGTATCAGAGTTAAGTGGCCTCAGATTACAAGCTGGGAGCCCAGCCAGCATATGCTGTTTGGTGATGCTACGTGGAAGGCTGAGGCCACACAGGGCTGGCTCACCCTACAAGCCAGGCACGGTGGCATGCACCTGTGGCCCCAGCTACACAGAAGACTGAGGCAGGAATGTCATGAACTCACTGTCAGTGTGGGCAACACAGAAAGACCTGTCCAAGAGGAACCAGCAGTTGGCATAATGGCTATGTCACTGGACTCCCATACAGTTGACTGCAGTTTGAGTCCTGGACACGGTGACTTAACCTCACGCCAGGTGCATGTGTGCGCGTGCCCAAAATCCCAAGAGGAGAATGGAAGAGAAGGGAATGCGGTGTGGCCATCTCCCCTGGGGGGTGATTTCTCACTTTCTGTCTCTCTGTCTCTCTCTGTCTTTTTGGCGAGCACACGCGCCCTATAGCAAAAAAACTCTCAAAAAAAAAAAAAATTAAGACCTGTCCAAGATAGCTGGGTGTGGTGTCACACATGCCTGTAGTCCAGCTGCTCAGAAGGCTAAAACAGGAGGGTCATGACAGAACACACTTATTTGGGAAAAAAAATCAGTTGGGAACTGTTCCCTCTTTCTGTTTTCTAAAAAAAAAACCTGTCTAGAATTAGTATTATTTCTTCACTATTTGACAAAATTCAACATTTGCTAGATTCTAATTTTTGTTTATAGAATTGTGTTACATAAAATGTAAATACAATGATATATGCAAACCTTACGGGTACAAATTGATGAATTTGAGAAATGCATATGCTTGTGTAACACTCTATCCAGAAACAGAAAATGTTTTTCACCCCCAGAAATTCTGTATTCCCACTTACAGATGAATCTTTCCTTCCCAGAGGCAATATCTTCCATGTTTTTAAACACGGATTACTTTTGCCTGTTCTAGAATTTTCTAAAAACTGCATCATGCAGTAGATACTCTTTTGTATCTGGTTTCTTTTATTATCTGTAAGATATGAAGTGATGTTGCTTCTTTTCATTCCTAACCTTTGCTATCTGTGTTTTATTTCTCTTTTGTATCTCAATTAGCCTTGCTAAGGGTTTATCAGGCTTATTAATCTTTTCCAAGAACAAATCCCTAGCTGTGGTGATATTCTCTGCTACTTGTCCCTTATTTTTCTAAAGACGTGTTTATTACTATCATTTTTTTAAATGTGCTATAGGGCATGCATGCTCACTAGAGAAAGTGAGAAAGTAAGTTGCCAGGTCCAGGACTTGAACCACGGTTGGCTGTGTGGGAGTCCAGTGGCTCAACAACCATACCACCTATTGGTCCCTACCCTACACTTTATTGACAGCTGCTCATTTATTTACCATTTCCTTTCTTCTATCTACTGTATAGTTAGTTTGTTCTTTTTATCTAGGTTCTTAAGGCGAAAGAATGATTTCGTACCTTACTGATTTTCTAATACGTTATAAATTTCCCTCGAAAGAACATTATGTGCCCCCAATTTTTATATGTCCTTCCATTCTTCCATTCAAATTATTTTTTTTCAAGGTTTTTGCCTTAGAGCACGTGCACTCACCAGAGAGAGAGAGACAGAGACAGTGAAGAGGGACTATGAGAAATCATCCCCCAGGGGGGATGGCCATGCCACAACCCCTTCTCTTCCATTATCCTCCCAGGATCTCGAACACACAAGCATAAACACCTGGCATGAGTTTCAAGCCACTGGGTCCAAGACTTGAACTACAGTCAGCCATTTGGGAGTCCAATGAAGTAATTGCTATGCTATCTGCTGGTCCCTCAAATTATTTTCTTATTTTCCTGTTAATTCTTCTTTGATCCATAGGTTATTTAGAAGTATTTTAACTTCCTACTATTTTAGGCTGTTCAGGTCTTCTCTTATTTATTTCTAATTTAATACCACAGTAGTCAGAGAACATATCATACATATTTTGATCCTTTTAAATTCACTGAGAAATTTGTATGGTCCAGCATCTGGTCTACCTTAAGGAATATTCCATGTGCACTTGAGAAGAATGTGCATTCCATCTTCACTGGGTGTCATACTTAAGAGACGTCAAAATTGGTGATAATATTCAGATCTTCCAAATTCTTAGGATTTTTTTTGATCTATTTGTTCTCAGTTATTGAAAGGGGAAAGTGAAGTCTCCCAGCTATGACCATGAATCTAAATATAAATCTCATTTTGTTCTACCCAACTTTGCTTCTTATATTTGGAAGCATTATTGGGTCTCTGCACAGAATTGTTGCAACAGAGTCAGCATGTTCTGCAAGGCTAGCTTACAAGGCTGGCCCTTGGCTAGCATACAGGAGCTTAGAGTCCTAGAGGGATTCTGCCACTTTGATAAGAGCAGCTCTCCAGCCAGCAGGTGGCATAGTGGTTAAGGTGCTGGACTCCCACATGGCTGACCGTGGTTTGAGTCCCGGACCCAGTGGTTTGAAACTCATGTCAGGCACATGTGCTAACATGCTCAAAATTCTGAGAGGAGAATGGAGGGAAAAGGACTGTGTTGAGGCCATCCCTCCTGGGGGGGTGATTTCTCACTTTCTCTGTGTCTCTGTGTCTCCATCAAATGCACATGCCGTATAGCAAAAATCTTTTTTAAAAAGGGCAGCTCCATGTGCCTAAGCTGTTTCTACACTATGTTTTTGCTGAACACCTGCTTCCCTCCTGGAGTCTGGAACATTTCACATGTGTTGTTGCCACAATCCACAGCTGAAGAACTAAATGTATCCTGTACAACTGCAGGGGGCGGGGGCCCTTGGATGCATGTACCTGATTCCCAGGGTTTGCCCAACGGGCT